TGTGGTGGCGGTGCTGTGGGGTCAGCTCTGCTGACTAGTGTTTTTTCCCGCTCATACAGGAGTAATAAGGGCCTAGTGCACCATTTTTGTATTTGTTAATATTTTTGTTATTGTGATTTAACAGCCACCCTACTTCCCGCGGCTCTATGTCTCATTGACTGGATGGTGGTACTGCGGTCTAGCCTCAACTATGCTGCCGTCTGACAATACTGCATTGAGAGAGGAGAGGAGGGAGAGAGAGAGAGAAGACAGGAGCAGTCTTTCAGCAGAGAGGATAAAAACAGACACCGAAAAAGAGAGGAGAGAGAGGGCATGGGAAAAGAGCTAAGGGAAAAGAGTGATTTGGAACATAGAAAGAGACGAGCAGAGAGACTAGGAGTATGAGACAGAGAAGAGAGACGAAAAGAGAAACTTCGAGGGAAGAATAGCATGAGAATCATCAGATGCAAGACACAGGCAAGCAGTAGAAGAGATAGAGGAGCGAAGAAACATTGATAGAGTTGATTTAGACACACGTGCTTAATGAGCAGATGGAGCGAGAGAGGCCTTTAGATTCTTAGAAAGTGATGGGAATCGCAGACGAGGAGTAGGTCAGAATGAAAAATCAGATATAATGAAGGTAGAGTCAATTGACAACTACTGGGAGAAGAAAGCAGAGAAGATCACGTCGAGAGCAGCCGACATGTAGTTAAATTGAAATTCAATACAGAGACAAGCTAAGATGGAGAGAGATAAGAGAGTCAAGACATAAAGATCTGGCTGCGTCTATCGGCTGAGCTCTCTCTCGTCTATCTACTTCCCGCTCTCTATCTCTCTTCTGCGTCTAGCCTATCTCTCCCTTCTCTCTCTGCTCATCTCTCTCTCTCTCCTCTCTCTCTCTCTCTTTCTCTCTCTCTCTCTCTCTCTCTCTCTAGTCTCTTCTCTCTTTCTCTCTTCTACTGTCTCTCTGTCTTCTTCTCACCACACAGATATTGACCATGGGACTGAGAATTAATGAGCATTATCAATGGGGGGGGGACAGGAAGGGAGACCATATGTGAAGACGCGCACACACAACACACACACACACACACACACACACACAGCACCACACACACACACACACAACACACACACACACACACACACACACACACACAGCCTGCTGTTTGGTCCTTAGTTAATCTAGATCCCAAGCGCCACCTTGTGTCCGTAAATGTAAAGTACACTGAGTGCTCTTTCCATGACAGACTGACCAGGTGAATCCAGGTGAAAGATGATCCCTTATTGATGTCACTTGTTAAATCCACTTCAATCAGTGTAGATGAAAGGGAGGAGACAGATTAAAGAAGGATTTTTAAGCCTTGAGACAATTGAGACATGGATTGTGTATGTGTGCCATTCAGAGAGTGAATGGGCAAGACAAAATATTTAAGTGCCTTTGAATGGGGTATGGTAGTAGGTGCCAGGCGCACTGGTTTGTGTCAAAAACTGCAACGCTGCTAGGTTTTTCACGCTTAACAGTTTCCTGTGTGTATGAAGAATGGTCCACCACCCAAAGGACATCCAGCCAACTTGACACAACAGTGGGAAGCATTGGAGTCAACATGGGCCAGCATCCCTGTGGAAGGCTTTCGACACCTTGTAGAGTCCATGCCCTGACGAATTGAGGCTGTTCTGAGGGCAAAAGGGGTGGTGGGGAGGGTGCAACTCTTTATTAGGAAGGTGTTATTAATGTTTTGTACACTTAGTGTATATGTAAAGTATATTTTTGTAAATGTAGACCTTCTTTTCCCAAGGTCTGTCAACATCAACTCATTTACTGTAAGTCTGATCTAGAGTGAGTCTAGAAGTCACAGAATAATTATCGGCCAAGTAAATTTTGCAGTTAGCTCACTGTTCTTCCAAATCTATGTTCTTGCTCTGACTCTTCAGGATGGTCTTATAGAATACACTGGAATGAGAATGATGATGATCAGATTCAGTTTGATGTTGTTTTGTGTGAGTGGAAAGAGATGTTTCACTGTAGTATTCGGCATGGGATCACTGAAACAACATTTAAGAACAATCCTCGAAAGAAACACACTTGAACACCAGTTTACAGCAAATACTGTAGATCACGTGTCAAACTCATTCCACAGAGGGCCAAGTGTCTGCGGGTTTTCGCTGCTCCCTTGTACTTGATTGATGAATTAAGGCCACTAATTAGTAAAGAACTCCCCTCATCTGGTTGTCTAGGTCTTAATTGAAAGGAAAAATCTAAAACCAGCAGAAACCAGGCCCTACATGGAATGAGTTTGACACCCCCGCTGTAGATTATTCAACTTAACCTATAACATACAGAAGATTTATATCCTATGAACTGTATAAAAAGCATTTCTTGCAATTATTGGACATTTTAAAATACAAAGATTTATTATGACACAAAGTCAGGGCAAAAAGTTCATAAACTCATACTTGACATCAGGTTTATGTATTTAGCATGGACTCAAACTCATCAATCCTCTGTTTGGTGTTCCCTTTTCTTATCTTCCTGTAGGACACGGTGCTGTACTTTGAAGCATTTTTGCTGCCAGGCTTCTCGTCAGGGGACTGCCGCCCACCACTCTGGCGCCCACCACCATTTGACCCCTCTTCCTCTTCCTCCTCCTCACACTCTTCCTCAGGTTCCTCGTGGTTCTCTCTTGGCTTGGTGAATGTGTTAGGTCCCGACCCTTTTACAGGTTGACCAGTGGACACCCCAGTCCCCAGCTTTGTCTCCTGTGGCGTCCCCTCCATTGATGATGTCACTTCCTATTCCAGTTATGCAGAAACTGGTGCTAGTGAAAATAGACAAAACATTTAAATTGTTTATCAATAGTTGTTTTTCTGTCAACAATCCCCCATAATTACAGCTCTCTTGATGAGACACAAATGCTTTTTGTCCAATAAAAAAGAGGCTTGTTGATACACTGCTGCCCACTTTGGACAATCAATGGTTGGCAACATGGCATTACATGAGAAGAGCGACTTTGAGGAATTTACATTTGTATTCTAATTAATCAACTTCCAGCTAGGCCTGATGCTTGTGTTTAGAACTTGTTGCACTGTAGTTGTTGGTATGCAATGAGCCTGCAAAAATATGCTGCTTCGCATACATCTCGATCGCACTCGCACACAACAGCATATAATACCAAGAGCATGTGATAATAAATCATTTTTTTATTTTTTATTCATCTACAATAAACACAACCAGACATAAATAAAACTTGTGCATGTGTCAAAGTGCATCAAAATATCTCATTATTGTGAGTTTATCTGACTGAGTCTATCTTCTTCATAATTCAATAATGTCAAGATACAAAAATCATACCACATCAATTTAAGACTTCCCTGATTAACATTTCTAATCAACCATATTGAAATACCTTGTAGGAGCTTCCCACCTTGCTCTATGTGAATATCTGTCTCTGGGTCACTCTGTGTGCTTGGTCCAGGCTTTGGTTCTGTATGGGAAGGTTGTCTCTGTTGCTCTGGAGGTCTCTGAGGGGGCCAGAGCAGCTCTAGCTGTAACCGGAGACTCTGAGGGCAGCTCTGTCCCTGTCCTAGGGGCCAGTCCTAGGGGCCAGCGTCTGTGACTGGGGCTCTGTTAGGGGCTCTGCTGCGTTTCAGTCTGTCCCACTGCTCCCCCCAGATAACTCTCTCTCTCGCTCTCTCTCTCTCTGTCTCTCTGTCTCTCTCTCTCTCTCTCTCTCTCTCTCTCTCTCTCTCTCTCTCTCTCTCTCTCTCTCTTTCTCTCGCTCTCTCTCACTCTCTCTCGCTCTCTCTCTGTCGCTCTGTCTCTCTCTCTCTCTCTCTCTGGTCACCATTGTCCAGTGAAGTGACTAAAACATCCCGCTGTGATTTTTGGCTGTAGTTCCTGCTGTCCCGCTCTCTTGTACCATGGAATCGCTGGCAGCAGCCATGGTGGCCCCATTACAAGGGTCATCATTGATTTTCTCTGTGACCACCTCACCAATTCCCACTTCAGAGTACATGTGGTGGTGATGATGATGATAATGATGATCCCTGTACCACCTCACCATACCTTAATGTGTTAGCTGCACACGTGTCTTCCTCACTGTCATCAGAGCTATAATCTGTTTCTTCTTCTTCATGATCTGCATGACATGAGAGAACACTTCCAGCTCCGTTCCTTCCAGAAAGTATTCCACCAGAACGCCATCATTCCTTTGAAAATTATGTTTTTCTCAGTCAGTTCTGTAGGCCGTTAATCTAAGATCTGATTACTCTTTAGAAAAGATATTCCTTTATAGTCTTTCTCCATCAGCCTTCATTCTGTAATATCTGTTTTAGTCTCTTCATCGCTTTCTATCCTCTTTCCCTGTCTATCTCTTCTCGTCTCTCTATGTCTCCTCTACTCTCTCTTCTCTCTCTATCTCTCCTCTCTTCTCTCTCCTCTCACACTCTCTCTCTCTCTACTCTCTATCTGTCTCTCTCTCTCTCCCCCCCCTCTCTCTGTTGTCTGGTAGATGGGGACTATCTATTGTGAATGAATTATTGGGGCAGACAGGATTGGTGTATGCAGCAGACTGCATTCAGTTCTGGTGCACAATTTCATCTTATGACCAACGTTCTTTGAGCCTTTAGGTAGATAATGTGCACTTTGTCTGCAGGGAGCTGATTGTTTAGTGTTTGTTCCTAATATGTTCATCTGTCCTGAGTAAACACCATCTAACCTACTTTATAATTAGATTAACATTCTCTACATGTTGATCCATCTGCACAATGTAAAGCTACAAAAGCTTTGCTTATGACTCAAGGTTATGGATTTCCCACGGATATTTATGGCAATATAGGAGGCATTTTAAATTGTGTAACATACCAGTTTATAAAAGTCACCTCGAGGAGTTTTGTATGGTCTCAAAATAATATTTTTCACTTTTCACTTTCACGTGCATTTACCCTCCTAGACGCTAGAGGGCCCTGTAGATTTCCCTAACAACTTTCAACTCGGAAGTTGCCCTTATCTTACACGCAAATGACTACTGTCAACATGCCTTCACAACCAACACATGTGTAGCATGCTTGAAAGAGATGAATGTACTGTTTTTGATCATTTAAATAATAAGAAATATAGGGAACAACTACCAACATGAAGTTTGCTTACAGGGTAAGTGATACTTTATATCACTTAGTAGAGTTTATCTGCTTGCTAGCTTTTTAGCTAGCTAGTTAGCTAATCTTTCTAATTTCTGCCTCTAGTTTTCCAATTTGTTGGGAGCTGTGTATCGTCATGGGAATCTGAGTTTCTCCAAGGATGGCAACTCTGTGATAAGTCCGGTGGGAAACCGCATCTCTGTCTTTGATCTAAAAAAGTAAGATGGCATCTGATTACAGGATTCCTGGTATCTGATCACTAGCTACATGTAATAGCTAGCTAGATTCCTTTACAACACTGTGTTGATTAAAATACATTTTTAACTTATTGCATTTGGAGAACAGACTGACTGATCATTTTCTCTTTCTAACAGCAACAAGTCAGAGACACTGCCAGTGTCCACTGCCAAGAACATCACCTGTGTCGGCCTCTCCCCTGATGGGAACCTGGCTATACTGGTGGATGAAGATGGAGCAGCGTTGCTGGTCAGCCTGATCACAAGAGCTGTTCTGCATCACTTCCACTTCCACAAACCTGTGGCCAGTATCCGCTTCTCTCCTGATGGCAGGTCAGTCCCTCACACATCATGACACACACACACTGCATTGCTATATCATTACATCAACTGATGTAGCCTAATGTCTGTTGTTGTGACTCTTTCCCGGTGCTCAGGAAGTTTGTGGTAACCAAGGAGAATGTAGCGCTGATGTATCATGCTCCCGGGAGGAACCGGGAGTTCAATGCCTTTGTCTTGGACAAGAGCTACTATGGACCCTACGATGAGACCACCTGCATCGACTGGACCGACGACTCCAAGTGAGTCACTGGCCCACCTAGAACATTTATACAATGTGTTGTTCGTTATGGTCTGTTTCATGTCACCTGTCAATGAAAAACCAGCAAACACTGCCGAGCCCTATCATTGGAGTTTAGCATCCCCAGTATACAGTTTTGTCTTGTGACCCTTCATTATATAGTAGTAGTAGAGAGAGAACCCCTGTCTTAACTCTGTTTCCCCCATGCAGGTGCTTCGTGGTGGGCAGCAAAGACATGTCTACCTGGGTGTTTGGAGCCGAGCGCTGGTCCAACCTCATCTACTACTCTCTGGGGGGACACAAGGACATCATGGTGGGCTGCTTCTTCGAGAAGGACAGTTTAGATGTGAGTGTTCTCTCTCTGTTTCCCGCTCAGCCCTTCTCTGTGTCCAACATGTTCTGGGTTTCTCTATGTGCCCTGTGTGTGTTTGCAGATTGGAACCTGTGTGTGGTTGTGCATAATTTATAGTATTTGAGTTAAAGGGATACATAAGGATTTTGGTAATGATGCCATTTATCTACTTCCCCAGAGTCAGATTAACTAGTGGAGACCATTTTTATGTCTCTGTGTCCAGTATGAAGGACGTTAGAGGTAGGTTTGCGAGCCAATGCTAACTAGCGTTAGCACAATGACTGGAAGTCTATGGGTATCTGCTAGCATGCCAAAACCCAGAAGTATCCCTTTAGGTGTATGTACATGTTTCCATACTGACCTGCTGAATATGTGTGTGTTCCAGTTGTACACAGTGAGCCAGGACGGGACGCTGTGTGTGTGGGAGAGTGATACCGAGCTGGACGGGCTGGTTCTGAGGAAGACAAAGCTACCAGCGGAGAGAGGAGAGGAGGAGGGAGGAGAAGGAGAGGAGGAAGAGCCCAGAGGAGAGGTGATCAGAGGGAAAGGAGAAGGACCCAAAGAGAAGGAGGGGACCAAGAACGTCAGATACAAACAGAGGAGCAAGTATGTCATCTCACATATATGTTGAAGTATCTGTGGTACAGCATCAGACTGCCTAGAAACAAGGTTTACCTGGCCATGAGTCTAACCAACTCTAACCAAGAGATTTACAAATAAAGATTGATTTGTTTTGGGGCCAACTGAGTGTTACCAATGTGAGGTTGGTTTCTGATTGGACACTGCCTGTTGTGTTTGTCTCCACCAGACACTTCTTCAACAAGGAGGGGGACTTCAACAACCTGACGGCTGCAGCGTTCCACAAGCCCACACACATCCTGGTGACTGGGTTCGCCTCGGGGATCTTCCATCTCCACGAACTGCCCGAGTTCAACCTCATCCACTCCCTAAGGTCAGGGTTCACACACACACACACACACTAACTCCTCAACTGTTGAACCACTCAATGACCAGTTTCATTCAGACCCCTAGCCTGCAGTTCTTGCTGGTGGGTGTCATTCATCATAAGTTGTTAGGACAATTAGGTTTTGTTGTACTAGTATTATTGGCTAGAAGCAGTAACTGAGCCTGTATGTTTTCATGTGTTCTCTCAGTATCTCAGACCAGAGGATTGCCACAGTGTCCATGAACAGCTCTGGTGACTGGATAGGCTTTGGCTGCTCAGGTATGGTCTCATGGTGTCTCAATTAACATACCCAAATACCACATCCAAGCTTGCAATGTTTAACAAAGGAACAAACTATAATCATTACCCGTGTGACATGTTGCCTTGTGTGTGTTGTCCAGGTCTGGGCCAGCTGCTGGTGTGGGAGTGGCAGAGTGAATCCTACGTGTTCAAACAGCAGGGACACTTCAACAACATGGCCGCCCTGGCTTACTCCCCCGACGGACAGTACATCGCTACAGGAGGGGATGATGGGAAAGTGAGTTCGTATACATTTTTCTCCATGGCCCGGTAGCTGCTGTGTCTCAGTTGTTCTGTTGTGCCAAACCACGTGTTGGCTGAATGATACAACGTTTTTGGAATACCGAGGTCAGGAAAATGGTGAACCTGGCCGTGACCCCATTACCTGCAGGTGTCTCAGGGGGAGTTGGGATATGCAAGAAACACTTGTACAAGTGTGTAACACGACAAATATAAGCACCCCCCAAATTATTATATACAGTGGGGGAAAAAAGTATTTAGTCAGCCACCAATTGTGCAAGTTCTCCCACTTAAAAAGATGAGAGAGGCCTGTAATTTACATCATAGGTAAACGTCAACTATGACAGACAATTTTTTTCTCCAGAAAATCACATTGTAGGATTTTTAATGAATTTATTTGCAAATTATGGTGGAAAATAAGTATTTGGTCACCTACAAACAAGCAAGATTTCTGGCTCTCACAGACCTGTAACTTCTTCTTTAAGAGGCTCCTCTGTCCTCCACTCGTTACCTGTATTAATGGCACCTGTTTGAACTTGTTATCAGTATAAAAGACTTCTGTCCACAACCTCAAACAGTCACACTCCAAACTCCACTATGGCCAAGACCAAAGAGCTGTCAAAGGACACCAGAAACAAAATTGTAGACCTGCACCAGGCTGGGAAGACTGAATCTGCAATAGGTAAGCAGCTTGGTTTGAAGAAATCAACTGTGGGAGCAATTATTAGGAAATGGAAGACATACAAGACCACTGATAATCTCCCTCGATCTGGGGCTCCATGCAAGATCTCACCCCATGGGGTCAAAATGATCACAAGAACGGTGAGCAAAAATCCCAGAACCACACGGGGGGACCTAGTGAATGACCTGCAGAGAGCTGGGACCAAAGTAACAAAGCCTACCATCAGTAACACACTACGCCGCCAGGGACTCAAATCCTGCAGTGCAAGACGTGTCCCCCTGCTTAAGCCAGTACATGTCCAGGCCCGTCTGAAGTTTGCTAGAGTGCATTTGGATGATCCAGAAGTGGATTGGGAGAATGTCATATGGTCAGATTTTTGGTAAAACCTCAACTCGTCGTGTTTGGAGGACAAAGAATGCTGAGTTGCATCCAAAGAACACCATACCTACTGTGAAGCACGGGGGTGGAAACATCATGCTTTGGGGCTGTTTTTCTGCAAAGGGTCCAGGACGACTGATCCGTGTAAAGGAAAGAATGGGGCCATGTATCGTGAGATTTTGAGTGAAAACCTCCTTCCATCAGCAAGGGCATTGAAGATGAAACGTGGCTGGGTCTTTCAGCATGACAATGATTCCAAACACACCGCCCGGGCAACGAAGGAGTGGCTTCGTAAGAAGCATTTCAAGGTCCTGGAGTGGCCTAGCCAGTCTCCAGATCTCAACCCCATAGAAAATCTTTGGAGGGAGTTGAAAGTCCGTGTTGCCCAGCGACAGCCCCAAAACATCACTGCTCTAGAGGAGATCTGCATGGAGGAATGGGCCAAAATACCAGCAACAGTGTGTGAAAACCTTGTGAAGACTTACAGAAAACGTTTGACCTGTGTCATTGCCAACAAAGGGTATATAACAAAGTATTGAGAAACTTTTGTTATTGACCAAATACTTATTTTCCACCATAATTTGCAAATAAATTCATAAAAAATCCTACAATGTGATTTTCTGGATTTTTTTCCTCAATTTGTCTGTCATAGTTGACGTGTACCTATGATGAAAATTACAGGCCTCTCTCATCTTTTTAAGTGGGAGAACTTGCACAATTGGTGGCTGACTAAATACTTTTTTCCCCCACTGTAATTAGGTAACAAAAGCAGGATTTTCCTGTGTTTTCAAACAGGCATGTGAATGCTGACAGCGTTCTGTGTTTCAGGTGAAAGTGTGGAACACGACCAGCGGCCTGTGCTTCGTCACGTTCACAGAACACACCAGCTCTGTCACTAACGTCACCTTCACCTCCAGAGGCTTTGTCATCGTCAGCGCCTCCCTGGATGGAACGGTCCGAGCCTTCGACCTGTACAGGTAAGAGAACACACCTGGTGAAGGTAGCTTCACAACACACCTACACACCTACACACCACAACACACCTACACACCACTACACACCTACACACCACAACACACCTACACACCACAACACACCTACACACCACAACACACCTACAGACAGACATGCACAATACTCACCTGTCCAGTTAAGACAGCAACAAACTAGGCATGCAACATTGTAGAAACCTTCCCAGAAACATGTTTTCCCTTTGCATGCACTTGAAATGTTTCATAGAGAAACAGACTCTATGGTAAATGAGTGGAGCATACTGATAGTTGATTGTCTGTAACTGCTGCATCTCTCCAGGTACCGTAACTTCCGGACGTTCACGTCTCCGCGGCCGGCCCAGTTCTCGTCTCTGGCGGTGGACCCGAGCGGGGACCTGGTGAGCGCTGGTGCCCAGGACTCCTTCGAGGTCTTCATCTGGTCCATGCAGACGGGACGCCTGCTGGAGGTCCTGGGGGGCCACGAGGGCCCGGTGAGCTGTCTGTGCTTCAGCCCGGTGCAGTCCATCCTGGCCAGTGCATCATGGGACAAAACGGTCCGCCTCTGGGACATGATGGACAGCTGGCAGACCAAAGAGACGCTCCGTCTCACCTCTGACGGTAAGCCCCGCCTCAGTCTCCGCTCAGTCCCTTCCACAGCTCTCTGACTGACGGTCATGTTAATGGGATAGTTTCCTGCTAAATTAGCATTTCTTCATCATTTTCTTAATCCAGAGTTGTTAGTTGTTTATAGACAGACACTTAGTCGTAGGGTGGCTGAGTGTAGAGTCGATTGGGGATTCATCAGAAGTAATGGTTGTAGGGGAAACACTGAATGAATGTCTCTCTCCGATTGGTTGTCCAGGACTGGCAGTGTCGTACCGACCGGATGGTCAGGAGCTGGCCGTAGCCACGCTGGACGGAGAGATCTCCTTCTGGAACCCCCAGTCAGCCAATCAGACGGGCTCGGTCAGCGGACGCCACGACCTGGAGATGGGACGCAAGGAGACCGACAAGATCACCGCCAAACAGTCCGCCAAGGGCAAGTGAGTGGAATAATGTGTGTGTGTTTCTGCCAGTGTTCTGGTTATTTGACCAACTGTTAATTTCCCTATCAGCGTCTTAGCAATTACCTCACAAGTTTCCCTTCAGGCATTAAGTGTGGCCACCCGTACTGTGTATTCCAGGTCCTTCACGTCACTGTGCTACTCTGCAGACGGGGAGTCCATCCTGGCTGGAGGCCAGTCCAAGTTTGTCTGCATCTACAACATCAGAGAACAGATCCTCATGAAGAAGTTTGAGATCTCGTGCAACCTGTCCCTTGATGCCATGGAGGTACAGAACTGACCACAGGTTCACCTACAAAGCATTGGTCTATCAGGACTTCTGAATGAGCAGACCTTCATAGTATAAATACTGTGCTAGTAGAATGGCGGCTAGCACTCTTCTAGTCAGATGTGTTGCGTGAGATTGATCTTGTGTGTGTTCTGGCTCCTTCAGGAGTTCTTGGACCGGAGGAAAATGACGGAGTTTGGGAGTCTGGCGCTGGTGGATGAGGGGGTGGGCGATGGTGACGGGGTAGAGCTCAGTCTGCCCGGGGTTAGGAAAGGAGACATGAGCTCTCGCCATTTCAAGCCTGAAATCAGAGTGAGCTCTCTCCGCTTCTCTCCTACTGGTTAGTATCAGGATTACAAGTGTCTTATCTGAGCTTGTTCTTCTGAAGAGTCCACCTGGTGCATCGTTCTGTTCCACGGCTATGCCATGTCAAATGTTAACGCTTTTCTCTTCTCTCTTCCCCTTCCCTCCCTCTCTTCTCTATTTCACCTCCCTCTTCATATGTCCCCTCCACCCCTTCTGCTACTCTTCCCCCCTCCTGCCCTCTGCATCCCCCTACCGACTCCATTCTCTCTATTCCCCATCACCTCCCACTCTTCTATGCCACCTGACATCGCACTCCCTCCGCTCTTTTACCGTACCCGTCCCTCGATCCCTGATCATACTATTCCCTACCTAGCCCACCACCCTATGCTCTTGTTCACCCCGTCAGATACCACCACCTACACTGACCTCACGAGCCGCCTCGACTGCCATCACCTCCGTACCCTCCCTCTCTCATTTACCACGCACTCACCGATCTGCAGTTTACCCACTCCCAGATCCGCTGTCGTCCGTATTCCCTCCCCCCCCATCTACTGCTCTACCGAATCCAACCCTCCCTCTCTTCTCTCTGTCCGACCACCTCCCCGCTCCTCTGTCCCCCTCACTCATCTTCGTCTCTTTCCCCTCCCGCACCCTCGTCTCATCTTCCCCTACCCTCTCTTCTCTCTTTCCCCTCCCTCCCTCTCTTCTCTCTTTCCCCTCCCTCCCTCTCTTCTCTCTTTCCCCTCCCTCCTCCTCTCTTCTCTCTCTTGCCTCTCTTCTCTCTTTCCCCTCCCAGGTCGTAGCTGGGCTGCTACCTCCACGGAGGGCCTGCTGACCTACTCTCTGGACGGGGCGCTGGTGTTTGACCCCTACGACCTTGACCTGGACGTGACCCCCGTCAGCGTCCGCCGCCAGCTGCGCCAGGCCGAGTGGGCAGCTGCCATCGTGCTGGCGTTCCGCCTCAACGAGACCGCCCTCACACAGGAAGTCCTGGAGGCCGTGCCACACCACCAGAGTGAGTGCTCATGGGTATTTCTAGTTCTGTGAAGGTGTCATGTGACTTTCATTTCTGGTCAAAAGTGCTGCGATCTGTACTTGTTTGTAAAAATGAGAGGTTGGGTCTTGGCGGATGTAAGAGTTAGTTTTTTGTAACCAAAGACCAGTAGATTATCATGGTAGTAGTCACACACGATCAGTATGTCCTCAGCGTCTGTGTGTACTTCACGTGTGTGTGTGTGTGTGTGTGTTAGTCGCGGTGGTGTGCGGCTCCCTGCCTGACGTGTACGTAGAGAAACTGCTAGGCTTCATAGCATCAGCCCTGGAGCGGTGTGGTCACCTGCAGTTCTACCTGAGCTGGGCCCAGTCTCTCCTCACACAGCATGGACAGAAACTCAAAACCAGGTGGGTACAAACACACCAATAACCATAGCATAGAAATAACAGGCTTATCTTCCTTATCAAAACCAGTTCAACATTTACTGAGAGGAGAAATGACATCTTGTAGAGTTATTTAGAGAAAGTGCCCACAAAGTATTGTGAAGCCACAGCAGAGGGCAGAATGCTAAATACTGTTTTGTGGTGAACAGATCTGGGGCTATTCTACCCACCATTCAGTCTCTGCAGAAGAGCATTCAAAGGCACTTCGAGGATCTCTCAAAACTGTAAGTCCAAATATATTACACATCATCTCTTATTCTTTTTAAACTGTTTTTTCTCTGTCTCGGTACAGACTGTTCCAGATCTCTGTGTACCTGTAACACAGGGTGGAATGTGGTGGTGTTCATTTGTCTGTGTCCTGTGCAGTTGTGACTGGAACATGTACACCATCCGCTATGCGCTCGCCCTGTCGAAGCAGAGGGGTGTGAAGAGGACGGCGGGGGACGCTCTCTGTGACGAGGGGGTCAGCGAGGACTCTGAGGTGATGAGCGAGGCCTCTCTGGAGGAGGAGACAGACATGCTCATGTAGGATGCTGCTACAACCTCTTGAGTGGTCTACTTCCCTACGTCCACTCTGACCTGAATATAGGGCCGGGAAAACCGTTGAGTGGTATGAAGGAGACCCACTGCAGTTCTTCATCTAACCACTGATAAAGGAATGGTGACAAGGAGAGGAAGCCACTCAAGAGTACGGTGATGCAGCTTCAACAAGGTTCTCTTCCAATATCCACACTAGCGTACCACTTAGAATGAAGCAATGTATTGGGCATGCATTCTAAGTACTGTAGTATGCTAGGATGGATATTGGAATGTAGCCCAAGTGACACTGACGTCATCACACAGGGCTTCTCCCAGTGCCTTCTGGGAAATCAAGATGGCCGCCAACAGGCCAAAGGAGAGGATAGTGGTGAAGGACTGTAGCAGACCACATCAAAGGATTAACTTGCGCTCTGTGCCAGTTTATTTAGTACACCTTACCTTGAGTGTCTTATTCACAACAAAGTCAATGCAAACGTGTTTATTTTTTTGTAGTAAACGGTTTGAAAAATGACTGGTGATTAATAGTTTTGTGTTAAGTTACCTGGAACGCCACCAGCTCCTGTGCTTGAAATAGTTATGGTTAAGTATCGTGATATAATTTGATTCCAAGTATCGATTCTATATTTGTCATCCTGTAGCTTGTCACTCAACATTGTAATTCTGATACTAAAATGTGGGTTGAAATAAAGAACAATGCATTTTATTTATTTTTATTCAAATGCCAGAGCACTTTTTATGTTAATTCAAAATCATCAGCAGTATTAGAAGTTCAAAATGAATGTCATTTTCCTAACCCTGATATGCAGGTCTGTACAGGCTGACATTTGGACAACTGGTCTTTAATCTCACACATATACACATGAGAAATATACATATCCACAGTATAGGGTATAGCTACATAATCATACTTGATGACAATAGTAACCAAAGACCTCAATTGATCCTCGAGTGGCTTGAAAGTTCCCTTGAACAATACTGGTCTCCATTTTACTTCATATTAAAAGGGTAAGAATGTAAAGTACTTGCAAATATATTAAAAGACTCGAGACACAGTAGTCAGAAGCAAGAATTGTGCTGCCTTGCTGGATTCAATCCATATTGCGGAAGATCCGCGTTAAAATGTAAAGTTAATTTGCGATTGAGCTAACCCGTGAATGCAGTCTCCGCGAACATTGCCTTTAAATTTTAATCGAGCTATAACGCGGATCTTCCGCGATACAGATTGAATCCAGACCTTAATGTCTGATGTTTTCCAACCCGAAACCTTTCATATCAGTTTCACTTCATGTGTTTGCATGTTTGAAACGCTTATTCTGGACAACGCATTCAAAGGCATCCATTGGCCAAATTTACAGTAGTATTCCACCGTTGCCATAGAGGCGGTCACTTCTTTTTAGTACATGAAATCATAGATAAACAATGGGTCCCTTACTCAGGCTGATTCCCAAATGGGTCCTGGTCAAAAGTAATACTCTACATCGGGAATAGTGTACCATATGGGACAGAAGTTAAGTTGCCCCAGAGCACAGATCTAGGATCAGCTTACCTTACCCCAGTCCTCCATGGGGGGAACATTACCAACCCCAGATCAGTGCATAGGGGCAACTACATCTTTAACCATCAGTCTGTCTATATACATGGCAACTTATAAAAGTAACCAACACATTTTCTTACACAATTTGTACAGCGAGATACTTAAGACTAGTCCTTTACAATAACCCATGCAAGAGAAGGCATTGCCATTTCTTGGGGCCACAAGATTCAAGTTCTGCTCTCCAACCCGAACGGTCTCAGCAGGCAGTGTGTTCAACCAAACAGGGTTATAAAAGGTTTATCTCTTAGGCCATTTACATACTAGGAAAACCCAGAACTAAATCTATAAAGTGCTCCAAAATCCCACATTGCAGTTGATTGTGAGGGCCCTTAGCAACATTAGGCTACATTTCCAAGATAACGTTGAAAGAACTCGTTCAAGCACAACAGTGAAGTGAGGGAGGTGTGAGATTGACAGGAGGGCAGGCCAATGTTAGAATTGACAGATTGTTTTTGGATTAGATTAGGAAGAATTTGGTGTTCCGTGAATAGCACTATATTAGTGATTGTCCTTAGATAAACTGATCGTTGACAAAAAGAAGGAACCAAAAATGACATGGAAAGACATTGCATACACAATCCATCCCATATTCACCACCCACAGTCAGACAGTACACCCCCCATTCACTCAGTCACACAGGAAGAGCAGTGTCAGTTAGGATCTGGAGAAGAACAACATCATTCCTAAACACCAGATTTATTCATACTGGGTCCATTCCACACTACAGTTCCCATCAGCCCCTGGGCTCCAGGTCAACAGTTGGATTGGAGCGTTGACAATGTTTGTGTTTTGGCCATTCAACCAAAGGAACGGGGAGGCGGTGGTCCGGTAAAACTGGAGAATAGCAGGATGTGTCCTTTCCTGGACCCGCCCCTTCTTCTCATCCACCGCAATGCATCATGGGCCACAGTCTACTTGTGGCCTGGTTGTGGGGAGGGTAAAAACATAAAACAGAGAAAGAGTGTTATACCACCAAGCCACATGAGGGGCTGTTTTGCTATGAATGCCAAAGTTTGAAACTACAGGGTATGAGGGTAATGTCATGCAATTGATGCAAGAAAGCAACCTGGTAGTTTCGCCAAGTCTTGGAAGGAAGAGCTAGCAGGTGCTATGGTGTTACTGCAGGAAAGACTATCAGGCAATGCATGTGATTGTTGCAGTAGGAGCAGGTTGGGAGAGCTAGCTAGTCTGTCTAACTGTGTTAGGACAAGAGTTAGACAGAGCACAGGATACAGATCAACCACACACACACACACTTCAAACAGGCCACTTTATCCCCCAGATCAACCACACACACAAACACTTCAAACAAGCCACTTTATCCCCCAGATCAACCACACACAGAAACACTTCAAACAAGCCACTTTATCCCCCAGATCAACCACACACACAAACACTTCAAACAAGCCACTTTATCCCCCAGATCAACCACACACAGAAACACTTCAAACAAGCCACTTTATCCCCCAGATCAACTAAAAGCTAGTCTGTATGATACATGGTAGGTAGTAGGTACTAGCCTATCCTTAAAACTCAACTCAAAAACACAATACTGACACTAGCAATTCCTCTCTCTCTCACACACACACACACACACACACACCCCCTATCATGATGTTCACACAGATTCATTCATCCTTGCTCATACAAAGTACATCTCTCACAAACACACTTCCTCTCAGCACATCCACACTAAAGCGGACACTGACCTGCGATGTATTTTGCTCCAATTAACATTAACATGCTACCCAGAATGTAAAAGCCCAGTGGGACACTACTGAAGATACTAGTTTCACCTGGACGATGTCCAAACCCAGGTCCAATTCAAGCAAGACAGAGGAGAGAGAAACACAGTGGGACACAGAATTACCACCTCTGGGTCCAGCTTAACTAGCCTGGTCCAAGATCTGTTTGTTTGTGCTGTCTTGCCAACTCCTATGGTCATTGGGGTGACGATGACCACAAGAGTTGGCAAGACAGCACAAACAGGCCTGGGACCAGGCTACAGCTCAACAACAATGTTGGCACTAGATTACAATGACTTTGACTTTTTCCTTCAGCTTAGAAGTTTACTGTGTTTTTAAGAATTGGAACAGCCACCCAGTCTGTCATTGTATTCATTAGGGGTGTCACTGTTCAGTCAGTCTTACTGTCCCTTGTTTTAATTACACACTTTGCTATTATGGACCAGCCTACATTAAACCGGTCAGTATTAAAGTGGAGAACAGTTCCTACCATTTCCATTAGAGATGGGTTCAGTGGTTTCCCAGTTCATGGCTCTCTGTACGGCCTTCTTCCAGCGAGCATATCGAAACTCACTCTCTACAGAGCACAATAGAGAGAGAGAGGGAGAGAGAAGGAGAGAGGGAGAGAGAAGGAGAGAGGGAGAGAGAAGGAGAGAGGGAGAGAGAAATACAGGGGGATAGAGAAGGAGAGAGGGAGAGAGAAGGAGAGAGGAATACAAGGGGAGAGAAAGCAAGACAGAAATAAATACATCATCCCATTCATTTACATGGAAACAACAGCAAACATTTTGCAGAGTTGTTTGCTGGGTTCATTATATTGTCCTTACCATAGGCTCCCTGACCTCCAGGGTTCATAGAGAGACAGAGAGACAGACATACAGATATATTTACCTATGTCTGTGTTCAAACAAATATGAACTGCTAGCAATGAGATCAGGTAACAGTGCTTTACATGTCCCTTACCTCAAGGGTTGATAGAGAGACAGACAAATATTTTTGACCTACAGTACTTGTCAAACGTTTGGACACACCTACTCATTCAAGGGGTTTTCTTTCTTTTTACTATGTTCTACATTGTAGAATAATAGTGAAGACAACAAAACTATGAAATAGCACATATGGAATCATGTAGTAACCAAAAAAGTGTTAAACAAATCAAACTATATTTTAGATTCTTCAAAGTAGCCACCCTTTGCCTTGATGACAGCTTTGCACACTCTTGGCATTCACTCAACCAGCTTCATGAGGTAGTCACCTGGAATGCATTTCAATTAACAGGTGTGCCTTCTTAAAAGTTAATTTGTGAAATGTATTTCCTTCTTAATGCGTTTCAGCCAATCAGTTGTGTTGTGACAAGGTAGGGGTGGTATACAGAAGATAGCCCTATTTGGTAAAAGACCAAGTCCATATTATGGCAAGAACAGCTCAAATAAGCAAAGAGAAACGACAGTCCATCATTACTTTAAGACATGAAGGTCAGTCAATACAGAAAATGTCAAGAACTTTGAAAGTTTCTTCAAGTGCAGTGTCCAAACGTTTGACTGGTACTGTATGTCTGTGTTCAAACAAAAAGGAACTGCTAGCATTGAGATAAGGTAACAGTGCTTTACATGTCCCTTACCTTCAGAGTTGATAGAGACAAATACTTTTGACCTATGTCTGTGTTCAAACAAAAAGGAACTGCTAGTATTGAAATAAGGTAACAGTGCTTTACATGTCCCTTACCTTCAGGGTTGATTTGTGGCTCAAACTTCTCAGAGGTGACCTCACTGAGGTCCTCAGGACACAGGCTCCAGACACTGACCCCCTCTGCTGACCCCGCAGCCATGGCCGCACCCAGGGCAGTGGTCTCAGGCATGGAGGGCTTCACTACAAACAACACAATCTTCCTCATTGTCCTCATCACCATCATCGTGGACATTATCATAAACATAGTGTGTGAAAGAGAGAGAAAGAAAGAGAGAGCGAGAGAGAGACAGAGTGAGAGAGAGAGAGACAGAGCGAGAGAGACAGAGCGAGAGCGAGAGAGAGAGAGCGAGCGAGCGAGAGAGAGTGGGTCTCTTACCAACGGGGATGCAGAGTATATCAGCTTGCAGCTGCATCAGTAGTCTGTTGGAGGTCATGCCCCCGTCTACCTGGAGCTGGGTCAGAGGGATGCCACTGTCCTGGTTCATCGCATCCAGGATCTCTCGAGTCTGGAAACAGACAGCTTCCAACGCAGCGAAGGCCAGGTGACTCTTGTTAGTGAACTGAGTCAGACCACAGATTATCCTGTGTATGAGAGAGAGAGAGAGAAACTTTATTTTACACTTCTTGACTTACCGTTCCTTCTTTACCAAATGTAAGAGACAGAGAATGAGCTGATTTAAAGTAAAACTATGCTGAATTCAAGTTGTTCTAGTACTCACCCTCGTGCACTGGGCTCCCAGTAGGGGGCGTACAGACCAGAGAACGCCGGGACAAAGTAACAACCGTAAGACGTGCCCACTGAAGCCGCCAGTTTCTCTGAGGATGGAGAAACCAAAGAGATAAATAGAGAAGAGAGAGAGAGAGAGGTATGGAGAAGAGAAAGAGGTATGTAGAAGAGAGAGCGAGAGGTATGTAGAAGAGAGAGCGAGAGGTATGTAGAAGAGAGAGCGAGAGGTATGTAGAAGAGAGAGAGGTATGTAGAAGAGAGAGCAGTATGTAGAAGAGAGAGAGAGGTATGGAGAAGAGAGAGAGAGGTATGGAGAAGAGAGAGAGAGGTATGGAGAAGAGAGAGAGAGAGGTAAGGAGAAGAGAGCGAGGTATGGAGGAGAGAGCGAGGTATGGAGGAGAGGTGTTCTGGAACACACCCCTCTACTAGTGTTGTGAAGGACAGGACTTCCTCCTTACCCAGCTCTGTGGAAGTCTGAATGATCCCCAGGTTGTCCTTCAGCCAGCGAACCACAGCCCCCGCTATGGCCACCGAGCCCTGGAAACAACCAATCATAGATCAGTAGGGGAATAAAGGACCAATCAAGAAAAATAGAACTGACAACAACTTGACAGGATCAGACCAAGCAGGTCAGAAATGACTGCATAACAGTGCTGTACAAGTTGAATCCATGATCCATGGCTACCTCTAGTGCGTAGCAGGCAGGTTTGTCTCGACCCAGTTTGTACGCCACCGTGGTTAGTAGGCCATGGTCCGACATGACAGGCTGCAAGAGATCGAAGAGATAACAGTTAAAGCAATTAAACAGATAAGCTAAAACGGAAATTTCAAGAGACAGGCAAATGTTAAGAAATGCCTGTCTAGGCTGGGTGATGTCACAGAGGAATGTTCCACATCTTTAAAAAAATTAAATAATAAGGGAACAAAATCACCTTGGCTCCAGTGTTTCTGAGTAGAAAGCAGCCAGTTCCATATCTGAAAGATAGTCACTGATGTTTGAATATCTCAAAATTATCTTACAGTACAGTGGTTTGTGAAAGTATTCACCCCCCCCCCCCCCCCTTGGCATTTTTCCTATTTTGTTGCCTTACAACCTGGAATTAAAATATATTTTGGGGGGGTTTGTATCATTTGATTTACACAACATGCCTACCACTTTGAAGATGCAAAAAATGTTTTTTATTGTGAAAAACAAGAAATAAGACAAAAAAACATAAAACTTGAGCGTGCATAACTATTCACCCCCCCAAAGTCAATACTTTGTAGAGCCACCTTTTGCAGCAATTACAGCTGCAAGTCTCTTGGGGTATGTCTCTATAAGCTTGGCACATCTAGTCACTGGGATTTTTGCCCATTCTTCAAGTCAAAACTGCTCCAGCTCCAGTTGGATGGGTTCCGCTGGTATACAGCAATCTTTAAGTCATACCACAGATTCTCAATTGGATTGAAGTCTGGGCTTTGACTAGGCCATTCAAATCAAATCAAATCAAATTTTATTGGTCACATGCGCCGAATACAACAGGTGCAGACATTACAGTGAAATGCTTACTTACAGCCCTTAACCAACAGTGCATTTATTTTAAACAAAAAAAGTAAGAATAAAACAACAACAAAAAAAGTGTTGAGAAAAAAAGAGCAGAAGTAAAATAAAGTGACAGTAGGGAGGCTATATATACAGGGGGGTACCGTTGCAGAGTCAATGTGCGGGGGCACCGGCTAGTTGAGGTAGTTGAGGTAATATGTACATGTGGGTAGAGTTAAAGTGACTATGCATAAATACTTAACAGAGTAGCAGCAGCGTAAAAAGGATGGGGTGGGGGGGCAGTGCAAATAGTCCGGGTAGCCATGATTAGCTGTTCAGGAGTCTTATGGCTTGGGGGTAGAAGCTGTTGAGAAGTCTTTTGGACCTAGACTTGGCACTCCGGTACCGCTTGCCGTGCGGTAGCAGAGAGAACAGTCTATGACTAGGGTGGCTGGAGTCTTTGACAATTTTGAGGGCCTTTCTCTGACACCGCCTGGTATAGAGGTCCTGGATGGCAGGAAGCTTTGCCCCAGTGATGTACTGGGCCGTACGCACTACCCTCTGTAGTGCCTTGCGGTCAGAGGCCAAGCAGTTGCCATACCAGGCGGTGATGCAACCAGTCAGGATGCTCTCGATGGTGCAGCTGTAGAATTTTTTGAGGATCTGAGGACCCATGCCAAATCTTTTTAGTCTCCTGAGGGGGAATAGGCTTTGTCGTGCCCTCTTCACGACTGTCTTGGTGTGTTTGGACCATGATAGTTCGTTGGTGATGTGGACACCAAGGAACTTGAAGCTCTCCACCTGTTCCACTACAGCCCCGTCGATGAGAATGGGGGCGTGATCAGTCCTCTTTTTTTTCCTGTAGTCCACAATCATCTCCTTTGTCTTGGTCACGTTGAGGGAGAGGTTGTTGTCCTGGCACCACACGGCCAGATCTCTGACCTCCTCCCTATAGGCTGTCTCATCGTTGTCATTCCAAGACATTTAAATGTTTCCCTTTAAACCACTCGAGTGTTGCTTTAGCAATATGTTTAGGGTCATTGTCCTGCTGGAAGGTGAACCTCCGTCCCAGTCTCAAATCTCTGGAAGACTGAAACAAGTTTCCCTCAAGAATTACCCTGTATTTAGTGCCATCCATCATTCCTTCAATTCTGACCAGTTTCACAGTCCCTGCCGATGAAAAACATCCCCAGAGCATGTTGCTGCTACCACCATGCTTCACTGTGGGGATGGTGTTCTCGGGGTGATGAGGTGTTGGGTTTGCGCCAGACATAGCGTTTTACTTCATGCCAAAAAGCTAAATTTTAGTCTCATCTGACCAGAGTACCTTCTTCCATATGTTTGGGGAGTCTCCCACATGCCTTTTGGCGAACACCAAACGTGTTTGCTTATTTTTTTCTTTAAGCAATGGCTTTTTTCTGGCCACTCTTCCGTAAAGCCCAGCTCTGTGGAGTGTACGGCTTAAAGTGGTCTTATGGACAGATACTCCAATCTCCGCTGTGGAGCTTTGCAGCTCCTTCAGGGTTATCTTTGGTCTCTTTGTTGCCTCTGATTAATGCCCTCCTTGCCTGGACCATGAGATTTGGTGGGCGGCCCTCTCTTGGCAGGTTTGTTGTGGTGCCATATATAATAATAATAATAATGGATTTAATGGTGCTCCGTGGGATGTTCAACGTTTCGGATATTTTTTTTTATAACCCAACCCTGATCTGTACTTCTCCACAACTTTGTCCCTGACCTGTTTGGCGAGCTCCTTGGTCTTCCTGGTGCCGCTTGCTTGGTGATGACCCTTGCTTAGTGGTGTTGCAGACTCTGGGGCCTTTCAGAACAGGGGTATATATACTGAGATCATTAGAAACTTGCAATCCAACTAATTATGTGACTTCTGAAGGTAATTGGTTGCACCAGATCTTATTTAGGGGCTTCATAGCAAAGGGGGTGCATACATATGCACGCACCACTTTTCCGTTAATTATTTGTTCGAATTTTTTGAAACAAGTTTTTTTTTTCATTTCACTTCACCAATTTGGACTATTTTGTGTATGTCCATTACATGAAATCCAAATAAAAATCCATTTAAATTATAGGTTGTAATGCAACAAAATAGGAAAAACGCGAAGGGGGATGAATACTTTTGCAAGGCACTGTATCACCAGCTATGACAAACCTATGGAGAGAAGTCTTACGTGTTTTTGGCCTGCCCTTCCTTAAAGCACATCTGTCCAACAAGAGCAGCCGATTGGTCCCCAAGACACTGTAAACAAACAAAGACCCTTCAGATTGGTGGGAACAGGTGCCAATCACTTCTCATAACATCCAGAAATGTAATAAGGTGACCTTGAGTTGAGTAAGACAGGATGTTTCAAAACCTACCCCTGAGATGGGTATGCCACTAAGAGAGCCCGATTTCTGTCAAAGAAACAAAACATGTTAGCAATATGAAACAGCTTCACAGCTTTAATTCTGGCCAACTCCGTAACCACAAGACCCAGCAAAGCAAGACCCTTCACTGTATAAAACGCCATACCAGTTTGATGTTTCAAGCTGTCGTAGAAGTGTTGCTTGCGTACAGACAGACTGTAGAAGTGTTTTACTATACAGTATGGTGCTATAGCCAACAGCAAATTGCATCTTTTCTCAAACCACAGTCTAAAAAAAACATACATACATTCTCAATACAGCCAATCAAAGAGCATGAAGGAGACAGAGGAATGCAGTTGTCTTGGAGACAATCAAGTGGTTTAAGGCACACAAGTCAAATATCTTCACTCCCATTGAACTCAATATAACCCACAAATCACCAAAAGGGGCTAGGGATCGAAATGGAACTGAGCCGACCGAAATGGAACTGAGTAGAAGAGTGAAGAGATTTACCGAACAGCTTGTAGAAACACGTCAACAGGAAGAGAAGTAGACAGCAGCCCACTGAACACCTGGGCAAGGTGTGTGGCATTGCAATAAGGTGTAGGGCGTATGCCGGCATCATCCACAGTAGCGGAGCGGCGCGCATGCCACGACAGGAGCAGAGAAGGAAGCACACGCCCATCCTGTACAATTCCAAGCTTATCCAGGAGGGTTTTGGGAATGTCTGTATCTGTTTCAGTCTGACCTGACTACTCAAGATATGTTTTACAAATACACTACATGACCAGAAGTATGTGGACACCTGCTCATCGAGTATCTCATTCCAAAATGAAGGGCATTGATATGGAGTAGGTCCCCCCCTTTGCTGCTATAACAGCCTCCACTCTTCTGGGAAGGCTTTCCACTGGATGTTGGAACATTGCTATGGGGATTTGCTTCCATTCAGCCACAAGAACATTAGCCAGGTCGGGCACATCCCAAAGGTGTTCGATGGGGTTGAGGTCAGGGCTCTGTGCAGGCCAGTCAAGTTCTTCCACACCGATCTCGACAAACCATTTCTGTATGGATCTCGCTTTGTGCATGGGGGCATTGTCATGCTGAAACAGGAAAGGGCCTTCCCCAAACTGTTGCCACAAAGTTGGAAACACAGAATCGTCTAGAATGTCATTGTATGCTGTAGTGTTAAGATTTCCCTTCACTGGAACTAAGGAGCCTAGCCTGAACCATGAAAAACAGCCCTAGACCATTATTCCTCCTCCACCAAACTTTACAGTTGGTACTATGCATTGGGGCAGGTAGCGTTCTCCTGGCATCCGCCAAACCCAGATTCGTCCGTCGGACTGCTAGATGGTGAAGCGTGATTCATCACTCCAGAGAACGCGTTTCCACTGCTCCAGAGTCCAATGGGGGCGAGCTTTAAACTACTCCAGCCAACGCTTGGCATTGCGCATGGTGATCTTAGACTTGTGTGCGGCTGCTCGGCCGTGGAAACCCATTTCATGAAGCTCCCGACAAACAGTTATTGTGCTGACGTTACTTCCAGAGGCAGTTTGGAACTCGTAGTGAGTGTTGCAACCGAGGACAGACAATTTTTACGCGCTACGTGCTTCAGCACTCAGCAGTCCTGTTCTGTGAGCTTGTGTGGTCTACCACTTCGCGGCTGAGCCGTTGTTGCTCCTAGACGGTTCCTCTTCGCAATAACAGCACTTACAGTTGACCGGGGCAGCTCTAGCAGGGCAGAAATTAGATGAACTGACTTGTTGGAAAGGTGCCATCCTATGACGGTGCCACGTTGAAAGTCACTGATCTCTTCAGTACGGCCATTCTACTGCTAATGTTTGGCTATGGAGATAGCCGGATACACTAATTTGAAGGGGTGTCCACATACTTTTGTGTATATATATATATATATATATATATATATATATATATATATATATATATATATATATATATATATATATATATATATATATATATATAGTGTACCATGAAAATCTGTTTCATCTTTTTAAATGTTTAATATCCTATACAATGAAGGGGGGAAAAAAATCTATATAGGTCAATTTTAGGGTGAGGCCTAACTCCCTGAAAATAGATATATCAGTCTCAAAGCCTTTAAAAGTCTTGCTCAACACATCTAACCATTGTCTTATCTCAATCAATGGCTTGGAAATGCACCTTTGGATGGTTCAGTCACTTTGACACAGAGAAGCAAGATGACTGGGGATCATGATCTGACATAGCGATAACAGTGATGAGGACGTCGATGAAGACCCCAATACTCACCAGGCTAGAACATATTTTCTATAGACAACAGGGGGGCACACAAAATAATGCTTGTGACAACACCTCAAACAAGTACAGACTAGGAAAAACAGACTAAATGCTCTCCGAATATGATGAATAAATGGTTATGACAGGATAGAAGCACACCTAAGCACAGATTCAGTTCCATAGTAATTATAAGCATGTTTAATAGACAGTGCAACACTTCATAATTCACCTTCCTCCCAACCCACAGACATTCAGACAAAGACAATGGGGACTTACCATTAAGCCGTAGATTTCTGAGGAACTCCTCACTTTTGGGAGAATCTCCATTGGAATATCAAAATATCTGAAAGAACGTGTCAAAACAGGAACAAGTGTAAACAGAAGATATGGTTTGTCTCACTGAATGGATATGTCCAGTATGCATGAGGGTGTACACAGTACGTATTAGATGTCCACCTACTTGCAGAGCTCTGGGTCCCATTCCAGGGTGTGGATGTTGAAGAGCATGGTCCTGCTGGCGTTGGTCACGTCTGTGCAGTGGACTCCCCCACTCTTTCCCCCTGTCAGACACTGTGGGGGGTAAACACAGAAACCTGTCAGACACTGTGGGGGGTAAACACAGAAACCTGTCAGACACTGTGGGGGGTAAACATAGAAACCTGTCAGACACTGTGGGGGGTAAACACAGAAACCTGTCAGACACTGTGGGGGGTAAACACAGAAACCTGTCAGACACTGTGGGGGACAAACACAGAAACCTGTCAGACACTGTGGGGGACAAACACAGAAACCTGTCAGACACTGTGGGGGGTAAACACAGAAACCTGTCAGACACTGTGGGGGGTAAACACAGAAACCTGTCAGACACTGTGGGGGGTAAACACAGAAACCTGTCAGACACTGTGGGAGACAAACACAGACACCTCTCAGACACTGTGGGAGACAAACACAGACACCTCTCAGACTTTGTGGGGGGCAAACACAGACACCTCTCAGACACTGTGGGGGGCAAACACAGACACCTCTTAGACACTGTGGGAGACAAACACAGACACCTCTCAGACTTTGTGGGGGGCAAACACAGACACCTCTCAGACACTGTGGGGGGCAAACAGAGAAACCTGTCAGACACTGTGGGGGGTAAACACAGAAACCTGTCAGACACTGTGGGGGGTAAACACAGAAACCTGTCAGACACTGTGGGGGACAAACACAGAAACCTGTCAGACACTGTGGGGGGTAAACACAGAAACCTGTCAGACACTGTGGGGGGTAAACACAGAAACCTGTCAGACACTGTGGGGGGTAAACACAGAAACCTGTCAGACACTGTGGGGGACAAACACAGAAACCTGTCAGACACTGTGGGGGACAAACACAGAAACCTGTCAGACACTGTGGGGGGTAAACACAGAAACCTGTCAGACACTGTGGGGGGTAAACACAGAAACCTGTCAGACACTGTGGGGGGTAAACACAGACACCTCTCAGACTTTGTGGGGGGCAAACACAGACACCTCTCAGACACTGTGGGAGACAAACACAGACACCTCTCAGACACTGTGGGGGGCAAACACAGACACCTCTCAGACACTGTGGGGGGCAAACAGAGAAAATACTGGACACGTAAGATTTCCTCAGAAACACAACAGAGGACAACTTGGCTTGGAGTATACAGACGGCCATTGTGGGCCTTTCCTATCCTTAACACTCACACACAGACATCATAAACCATATCTAAAGAGGTGTCTGCGTCTTACCCAGATAAGCCAGGAGTCGACGGTGCCAAACATGGCTCTGTGTGTCCGGACTGCCTCAGCGACCTCGTCCACATTATCCATCATCCAGCGAAGCTTCACAGCACTGAAGTACGTACTGATGGGGAGACCCGTCTTGTGCTGAGCAGAGAGGGGGGACCATTATGACATATACTTCAGAGAGGTGGAACTTTTTTTTTGTTTTTTTGTTTTACTTCAGATAGTTAGATAGTTTCTTTGACACATTTGTCTTTAACGTCCGGGTAAGCTGGGCCTGATGAAAACATGGTTATCTCCGGGTAAGCTGGGCCTGATGAAAACATGGTTATCTCCGGGTAAGCTGGGCCTGATGAAAACATGGTTATCTCCGGGTATGCTGGGCCTGATGAAAACATGGTTATCTCCAGGTAAGCTGGGCCTGATGAAAACATGGTTATATCCGGGTAAGCTGGGCCTGATGAAAACATGGTTATCTCCGGGTAAGCTGGGCCTGATGAAAACATGGTTATCTCCGGGTAAGCTGGGCCTGATGAAAACATGGTTATCTGCAGTCTGTGTTCCCCGGCATCTCACCTTCAAATGGTTCTTGTTTCTCCCAGGTGTCTTGTTGATCAGTCGCTCCACGGTCGACTGGGTCCGCAGGTCCAGCCACACTGCACACAACCAACACAACCTGTGTCTTTAAAATCCTTCCAGGCCTTAGATAACGGCTTTAGGTCATGAGGAAGGAGATGTGAACACAGGCACATATTCATAACTCACCGATAGCATTGTAGAGTGGCTCGCCTGTCTCTTTGTCCCAAACCAGCGTGGTCTCTCTCTGATTGGTCACTCCAATGGCTAGAAAGGTTCAAGTTTGATGAGTGAAAGTGACAGTCTGTAGTATGTTTTATGAGGAAGCGTTTGTGTGTGTGGGTGTGTTGTGTGTGTGGTGTGTGTCTTACCTTTGATGTTGGAGATGTCGATGTTGAGCTGGGTGAGTTTCTCACAGGTTCTCTCCATACACTCGTACACAGACTGCAGGATCTCTTTGGGATCCTCCTCCACCCACCTGATAAGAGGGTTAAAGGTCAGAGGTTAATAGATGTCAGAGGTTACAGGTCATCCAGTTTGAATGGAACTAATAGGGGATTTGTAGAGGCAACACAGCTGCATGTACTGACCCTTCCTTGGGGAAACTCTGGTTGATCTCAACCTGGTGGTGACTGAGGAGCTCGGCTGTTTTAGCATTGAACACCTGGGGATGAGACGAGAGAACAGGAGTGAACATCTGGACAAAAGTATCTCTGCTACCTAGACCGCAGAGTGGAACTGAAAAAGAACTCATGACGAATGTAAACACAGCTGAAAACAGGAGAGACGGACGAAGACGGGAGAGACGGACGAAGACGGGAGAGACGGACAAAGACGGGAGAGACGGACAAAGACGGGAGAGACGGACAAAGACGGGAGAGACGGACAAAGACGGGAGAGACGGACAAAGACGGGAGAGACGGACAAAGACGGGAGAGACGGACAAAGATGGGAGAGACGGACAAAGACGGGAGAGACGGACAAAGACGGGAGAGACGGACAAAGACGGGAGAGACGGACAAAGACGGGAGAGACGGACAAAGACGGGAGAGGCGGGAGAGACGGACAAAGACGGGAGAGACGGACAAAGACGGGAGATACGGACAAAGACAGGAGAGACAGCACACAGAGTTATCATGTATCAGTTGTGGGAGAGTAGAGAAGAGGGGACAGCACTAAGGGAGACGAGAGAGACAGACAGGCAGACAGCTCCATTGCCCATCACAGTAGTATCCTCAACAGCAGATACCTCTCCAGGAAATGTGACAACAATAACACTGATAGCTCATTAACAAATCAAAGTGTCCTTGTTAGTCATTAGCTTTCACGGGTGGCTCCTCCCTATGATACACACACCCCTCCTTTCCTGCCTTCCCTTCAGAGTGCTAGTGTAACATTTTGAGATTTTAGGGGTGACCTGTCAAAACGTGTCCACTCTGGTCCAAACTGGCTTCTGTAGGACAACAGCTGGTTTCAATGTGGGGTGAGAAGATGCCATAGGGGAATAGCAGCAGGGGAGGAAGACTGGGACAGAGTGAGGGAGAGAGTCCCTCCAAGCCTACTGTTACACAAACCTCTGGTACTGGAGGATGTGCTGGTCTGCACAATGAATGAATGACAGACTCAGCACTTCTATAGGCTACACATTAGAACAGGGTGGTCCTATCCACAAAGGGCTGGTGTGTGTGGTTGCAGGCTTTTCGCTCCAGCCAAAACATTGACATCAGATTCAACCATTCTTAGTGTTTAATCAAGTATTTCGGCTGGAGAAAAAGCCTGCAACCACACCAGCCAGTTGCGGATTTAGGCCTAGTGGCTGCAACAACCGAGATTGGACACCACCCTTGTAGAATTTATCAATTAGCTAGGAAAATTGAGTGAACTGTCACTTAACTAGTCCCACTACAGGCCTGCGTGTCCGTGCATGAATGAACGATTACTAAACAATAAATATCCAGAAAGCACAAACATTCCGTCGATAGGACTAGAATAGAATGTGTACGACTATATAGGCGACATTATAAAAGGAGATCGGAGAGTTATAACGGAATCAACCGGGTGTCTAACTAGGTTATTTAAAGGACATTCACCGTTAGGCGAGAAGAACCATTCAATGCGACTGCGCGGGTTGTAACTCACCAGGAACCGCGTCGAGCTCGTTCCCTGGTCGATGGCAGCAACGAGAGGCCCCAGCATTACCCTGTTCGAAGACGCAGCCATTCTACTGTTCATGTGCCCTGTGTCCTTGCGGTGGTCGGGACTAGCACTGGACTGTAGCTGGTTTTCTTTTGCCGCTGCCTGTAGCTAGCTACGGTTCTTCGGCACGGGCGCTGCTGACACTTCGACCGCTCAAGCTCACAGACACACATGCGTGAGACCGCCTCTGATGACGTAGCAGCACCAACCAACCATTTCTATCGGGGATCCTTGGGTCGTCCCTACCCTTAACCCTAATCATAACATTTACCTTACCGGGTAGGGACGTCCCAAGGATCCCTGATAGCACGGACCAACCGGGCAGAGATGGAGCGCGCATAGCCAATGGCGTGAAGGATTGGCGTTTCTATTGACAGCTCGACAGAAGGCGTCTTCGAATTGACCAATCAGATTTAGAGGCACGTCCAAAACTAATTTGGGTGGACATATCAATGTTTAGCTACTGCGCTCCAAGATTATTTTTTTTTTTCACCTTTATTTAACCAGGTAAGCCAGTTGAGAACAGGTTCTCATTTACAACTGCGACCTGGCCAAGATAAAGCAAAGTAGTGCAATAAAAACAACACAGAGTTACATATGGGGTAAAAAAAAACATAAAGTCAGAAATACAACAGAAAATATATATACAGTGTGTGCAAATGTAGCAAGTTATGGAGGTAAGGCAATAAATAGGCTATAGTGCAGAATAATTACAATAGTATTAACACTGGAATGCTAGATGTGCAAGAGATGATGTGCAAATAGAGATACTGGGGTGCAAAAGAGCAAAATAAATAACAATATAGGGATGAGGTAGTTGGGTGGGCTAATTTCAGATGGGCTGTGTACAGGTGCAGTGATCGGTAAGGTGCTCTGACAACTGATGCTTAAAGTTATTGAGGGAGATAAGAGTCTCCAGCTTCAGAGATTTTTGCAATTCGTTCCAGTCATTGGCAGCAGAGAACTGGAAGGAATGAATTACTATTTAAGACTTCCGAAAAAGGTATTATTTATTTGCATTAAAATGTCATGATAAAAATTGAATACGAATTCAATTGAGAGATTATTAATCACACCCACTAAAGATTATAATTACACTAAATAAAGAGCTGTCATGAGATTACGCTGTCATAGTACTTGATCTGACCACTAGATGGTGCAGTAGTACTGCTGTACTGATCTTCCTCAAGTCAATAGCCTAATGTAACAGTGCACATTGGCTCCTGACAAACAAAATGATTGAACATATTACAGAAAGTGCAAACATGAATTAATAAATATTAGTGCAAAAATCCTACATTGAGTTAAACACAATATACTGTACATGCTCACATCTGTCCCCAAATGTTGATCTGGAACTGTATATAAAACATGCTTTGTACATTTTATTTTTATTTTTATTTCACCTTTATTTAACCAGGTAAGCCAGTTGAGAACAAGTTCTCATTTACAACTGCGACCTGGCCAAGATAAAGCAAAGCAGTGCGATAAAAACAACAACACAGAGTTACATATGGGGTAAAAAAAACATAAGGTCATAAAATACAACAGAAATATATATATACAGTGTGTGCAGATGTAGCAAGTTATGGAGGTAAGGCAATAAATAGGCTATAGTGCAAAATAATTACAATTAGTATTAACACTGGAATGCTAGATGTGCAAGAGATTATGTGCAAATAGAGATACTGGGGTGCAAAAGAGCAAAATAAATAACAATATAGGGATGAGGTAGTTGGGTAGGCTAATTTCAGATGGGCTGTGTACATGTGCAGTGATCGGTAAGGTGCTCTGACAACTGATGCTTAAAGTTAGTGAGGGAGATAAGAGTCTCCAGCTTCAGAGATTTTTGCAATTCGTTCCAGTCATTGGCAGCAGAGAACTGGAAGGAATGGCGGCCAAAGGAGGTGTTGGCTTTGGGAATGACCAGTGAGATATACCTGCTGGAGCGCAGACTACGGGTGGGTGCTGCTATGGTGACCAATGAGCTAAGATAAGGCGGGGATTTGCCTAGCAGTGATTTATAGATGGCCTGGGGCCAGTGGGTTTGACGACGAACATGTAGTGAGGACCAGCCAACAAGAGCGTACAGGTCACAGTGGTGGGTAGTGTATGGGGCTTTGGAGACAAAACGGATGGCACTGTGATAGACTACATCCAATTTGCTGAGTAGAGTGTTGGAGGCTATTTTGTAAATGACATCGCCGAAGTCAAGGATCGATAGGATAGTCAGTTTTACGAGGGCATGTTTGGCAGCATGAGTGAAGGAGGCTTTGTTGCGAAATAGGAAGCCGATTCTAGATTTAACTTTGGAATGGAGATTCTTAATGTGAGTCTGGAAGGAGAGTTTACAGTCTAACCAGACACCTAGGTATTTGTAGTTGTCCACATACTCTAGGTCAGACCCGTCGAGAGTGGTGATTCTAGTCGGGTGGGCGGGTGCCAGCAGCGTTCGATTGAAGAGCATGCATTTAGTTTTACTAGTGTTTAAGAGCAGTTGGAGGCTACTGAAGGAGTGTTGTATGGCATTGAAGCTCGTTTGGAGGTTTGTTAACACAGTGTCCAATGAAGGGCCAGATGTATACAAAATGGTGTCGTCTGCGTAGAGGTGGATCTGAGAGTCACCAGCAGCAAGCGCGACATCATTGATATACATGGAGAAAAGAGTCGGCCCAAGAATTGAACCCTGTGGCACCCCCATAGAGACTGCCATAGGTCCAGACAACAGGCCCTCCGATTTGACACATTGAACTCTATCTGAGAAGTAGTTGGTGAACCAGGCGAGGCAGTCATTTGAGAAACCAAGGCTATTTAGTCTGCCAATAAGAATGCGGTGGTTGACAGAGTCGAAAGCCTTGGCCAGGTCGATGAAGACGGCTGCACAGTACTGTAGAATTGTAGAATTGTAGTACATGCATCATTTGTGTAACATAATATCTAAAATGACAATTACATTGCACAAAAACACCCACACATGTTGCAATCAGGTTATCAATAGGCTCCTAGGCCCACCTGTGTGGTTGCATATGATACATGTAGCACTCACAGATTTGTTTTGGAGCTGCCATCAGAATGACTAATGTGTCTAGGTCACCTATACAGGCCTATAACTTCTGTTAGATACGCTAAGGTGAGAGTCTTTCGCTGCGCTCATATCTCCCCAACGTTGCACACTCAACCTCACCTGTGGTTCTGCTCTTCTAACTACAGAACCATCAAACTGCAACGCCCCACTGTTCTACTAACTATAGAACCATCTAACTGCAACGCCCCACTGTTGTAATAACTACAGAACCATCTAACTGCAACGCCCCACTACTCTACTAACTACAGAACCATCTAACTGCAATGCCCCAGTGCTATACAATCCTTCTGTAAAGATGTAGGATCTTAATTTGAGCCAGTCTGCTACAGCAGGAAAATAATCCTGCAGCAACAGGAATTGTAAATTATTATGTGGATTATAATTAATGGAACATTTTTTAGGGGTTAATACAGTAC